AAGAGTTTATTGCTCCTGGGTGCAGCATATATGAATATGCCTAGGACCACAGCATGTTGATCCAAAGTGGTGCAGCTCTGGCTGACAGAGGCCCTGGGGGTCAGACCGCTAGCTTGGGGCTGCTCCTACCTGGCTTAACAAGCTGTGGAGGGGCTGGCTGGGGTATGAGAGTGCCTCAGTGCGGGGCTAGCTGGCATGCAGCCCCCACACTGAAGCACCCTCATGCCCCAGCCAGCCCCATCACTGTCTACACGTGTATTGCAACAGAGTAAATAACTGTTGTAGGATAGTACTTGTATCTGCCAGTACTAACCTACAGCAGAGTTAATTAGTTTACTCCAGCCTAATAGCTCTGCATGTATAGATGCATGACACTTTATTGTGGAGCTAATTAGGTAACTCCACAGTAGATGCACCCTCTTGAATGTTACTTTAAAGTCAATAGAATGACTCCCAGTATGTAAAATTAATCAAGTGTGTAAACCTTTGCAAGATCAAGGCTTTAATCTTCATCTTAATCTTACTTGCTTTGTGAATGCCAGTGTCCACACTCCAGTTAGATTGCCAACATTGCAGTGGGAGTTCTGTCTGAAGTAGAAGTTCAGCATATAGTCCCAGTGGTTCTCTCTGAAAACCATTCCTGTAGTGCACAGGGGAATGGACAATTAGAATAAATGGTGAAATTTCAAAGCAACAGCTCTGCTAGTTTTGGCATGTTTGAAAAAAAAGTGACTAAAAAGCCGTGCAAAGCTTGAAGATGCTTTACTACTAAATTTTTAACACTCATTAGAGGTCACAAATGACTTTCAGATTAAATGAAATTTCTTTTTCTATTTCAGTAATGATGCCTTTCGGATGAATGTGATCTTAAGGGTCTATGTAATTAATCAATAAATCTCATTAAAATGAGAAAAATTCATGCACTGCTCCAGAATAACTTATGAAAGAAGTCAGAGAATCATTTCTCTCCTTTTCCACTGCCTTAGGGGGAGGTGGACATTATAGAATGAAAAATCTAATTAGAACTAAGGAAGAAGTTTAAGAAATACCTCTTGAAAATATGCTGTTTGACAAATAACCACTTTTCTCCATTTTTCTTGTCATAATTGCAGTGAAACTCCCTTTATTTGCATTGCCAGTCTGTTGAACTCCACAGTACCCAAAAAAATTAAATTTAATGATAAATATAATTAAATACAAAAACTGTGTTAAAGTAGTTGACACTACTAGGCAATGTTGGGTCTAAGCACTCCCCATGATAAGGCTGTTGAGAGTAAATTCCAACAATGGCTGGCTTTCAACTGATTCTGAGGGGATGATTCTTTGCCTGTTCTCCTCTATCACAGGGTATATAACCTTCCATTCTGGTCCTATCGCTTACATGCATGAACCAGTGATAGCTTGCATGAGACAAGTCAGCAACTAAATACCACTGGCTCTTTGCTGGTGCATTCTGACATAAGAAAAATACAATGTTGGGCACACCATTGGGCTCGTATCCTAAGTTTCTTCTGAAGAGAGCTTAATCCTTTCATAAAATCTGCATTTTACATGTTATTATACAAGCTGTTCAGAAGTTGCTTCTTTTGAAATTGAACGTGAACACATCCATTTTTCAGGTGGTTTCTGCCCCCTGCATCGCTGCATTTCATAGGTAGACTGGGTTTCCACCAGAGGTACAGCATGCTGAACTGCTGTAGAATTGTACTTCACAGCTTGGAAGTGGGGTCTACTCTGTCTGTCAGAAGGGATTCAAGTATGCCAGAGGAAATGACTTTCCAGTTTGCACTGAAGAAGGGGTTTGGTTAGAAAGCACTCCCACCAACATAGGTATATTCTGAAATATCCTAAAGAAGACAGAACTTTAATGGTACATAGTAGCAAACTCAGGAAAAGAAAGTATCCAAGTGTAGCTCTGTTCTGCAAAATGCTCTCTTGGCTAGGTCTAAATCTGTTTTTGTGACATAAAGTAACTTGGCAAGATTGAAGGTCGTATTTTTTTTAACAAGGTGAAACTAAGTAAAAAAACCCAACCCCTTCTAAACCTGCTTTATTCTTGTTGAAAGGATGCAAGAAACAGAAAGTTGCATTGCTCAATACCGGAAAACTATAAGGCATAATAGTGCATATCACACTGAGACTATAAAATGACTCTTTGGAGAGAGACAGGGAAAGGGCTCAAAGGATCTTTTAAATGAAAATTCAGAATGATTTGTTTTTGTTTTTCACTGAGTAATGATGACAAACAGTGAATACTGAAAGGTCAGGAAGAACTAACAGAGAAGATAGAGTATAGAAT